GGAGGTCCGAGGAACAACCAGCTGAGAAAAGGCCAGCTTATGTGCATAAAGAAGGCAGTAGCAGAAGGACAAACAGAACACACCAACAGCCAACTCGTGCGTATGAAGAAGGTAGAAGCAAAGGGACAAACAGATCAACTCAACAGAGACAAACATGGAGAAAGAAGAGCAGAGGTGAGGAGTGGTCAGGAATTGAATTCAAGGTCAAGGAAGAAGACTATGAATGGCTTCGCGGTTGCTATGTCGGTACAGCACATTCCATAGAAATTATACCCAATCTGCAGGAAAAGCTCTACATGGAAGGTTATTTTTCATGTCGACTCCATCCTATGGGGGGGAAGTTGGTATTAATGGACTGTGAGGAGAAGGAAGAGCTAAGGGACTTAGTACAGGGAGCGGCAGACTGGCTAGGCCAATGGTTCATAGATATTCAACCTTGGACACCTATAGCAGTGGCAAAGGAAAGGTTTGTATGGTTGAGATGCCAAGGAGCTCCTCTTCATGCTTGGGGGTCGGAATTTTTTGAAAAATGGCAGTGACATGGGGTAAGTTCATATGCCTAGATGACAACACAAGCAAGAAATTAAGGTTTGGCGTGGCTAGATTCTTAATATCCATGCAAATCATGAATACAATATCTGTCATGCGGAGAATCAAAGTGAATGGAGTCATGTATGATCTGAAATTCACGGAAGAGGAGCTGGTAAATAGCTTGTTTTCAACAAGGCACGATTTCAAGCCAAATTTCAGCACTGATTCAGAATATGAGGAATCATGGACGGACTGCAATGACTTGGAGCTCAACCATGAAGAAAACGACTGGGGTGTTGATCTGGAACAGCTCACCGGTGATGGAGAAGAAGAAGGAGAAAACAGGGATTTCAGCCAATTTGACAAATGGTCGTCTGCCAATCCAAGAAACGAGGTGGAATTTGAATTTGAAGAAGAAAAGGGTGATGTGAAAGGACACAAGCTGGTGGATAGCTTCCCCTCTAGCTGGCTAGGTGAAGAACAATCAGTGGAAGTAGTAGCTGACAGTTTTGACAGGTCTACGGAAGCTAGTGAATTAGAAGGTAGAGTTGAGGCTGGTTTATTTGAAAATAGTCCACAAAATGAGCTGTCTACAAACCCTATTGAGAGTTCAGCTGGCAATAACTTGGGCCTACAACATAAGCCCAACTTAGAGGCCACATGCCAAGCCCATGACAATGAACAACAAGTGGGAGGGCAGATATGGGCTAACCAGACGAATGATACAACCAAAGGTATGGAAAATGAGTCCAGAATTGAGCAAGAATCTGTTCCGCAACGTGAGCAATAGCAGCAGAGGTAAGAGAAAAAAGGGGAGTCGCTGGGAAACAATAGAGAGTTTTGGGCAGATTTGCAAAGTGAGGAAGAAAGTGAAAAAGGGTGGATGGTTGCAAGTAACAAAGATCGAGAAAAAAGAAAAAAGAAGAGAGCAAAGTCGTGCAAAGCTGTGTATCAAAAAGCAAGTCTTCAACGAATTTTGATGTAGAGAGAAAAGAACAGATCTGCAGTAAAAGAGAAGAAAGCATGGCGAGAAGATATCCTAAAGTTTCAGCCGGGCATGAACAATGAAGTTGCAGGGGGTTCTGTGGTAGATAGTGGTATACAGAATCGAAATAGATTGTTGAAGGAACACCCAAGTCGCAGAATTGCAGAGGAGCTGTGGGATTTTGCTAGGAAAATTGGGGTTGTTGCTGAAAATGAGGAACAAATCATCAACAAGCTTGATGAAATGGAGGTGCGTGATAGAAGAGCAAATGAAGCGGACTGCTCAAAAGATTCAAAGAAGAAACAGAAGGTTAGTGAAACAAAATTATGAATATATTGTCTTTTAACATTAGAGGTTTGGGTGGTGCCGGTAAGAAGAGACAGTTAAGGGATTTAGTGAGTAAAGAAAAAATAGATTTTTTGGCTTTACAAGAAATGAAGGCGACAGGGATAGATAAAAAAACATGTAAAATGGTGTGGGGCACAGAAGACTTCGGTTGGGTTGCAAAGGATGCATGTGGGTTGTTTGGAGGCATACTCTATGTATGGAATTCTAAATCTCTCACAATGTCTAGAGTAATAGAGGGTGAGAATTTTATAGGAATAGAAGGGGTATGGGGTCCTGAGGGGGTTGTTGTTTTCATTCTAAATGTGTACTCCCCGTGCTAGTTATCAGGGAAGAGAGTTTTATGGGCAGAGCTGAAAATTTTGGTATTAGATAGACAAGGCTACTAGTGTATTGCAGGGGATTTTAATGCAGTTAGGAATGAAGAGGAGAAAAAGGGTAGTAGAGGAGTTACTATTGAGATAAGAGAGTTTAATAACTTTATACAAGAAACGGAGTTGGTGGATATTCCTCTTGTGGGTAGAAAATTCACCTGGTACCAGTCTAATGGGAACAGTATGAGCAGAATAGACAGATTTCTACTATCGGAAGGGTGGTTGACAAAGTGGAGTGAAGCCAGATAGTGGGGCCTTAGTAGAATAGTGTTGGATCATTGTCCAATCCTGCTCAAACATAAGCATATTGACTGGGGGCCTAAGCCATTCAAGTTTTTCAATGCATGGTTTCAACAAGAAGGTTGCATGGAGTTGGTTAAAGAGGTGTGGGGGTTGGCAAACATTCAAGGATGGGTAGGGTTTCAACTTAAGGAAAAGCTGAAATTGACAAAGGAAGCTTTGAAAAGGTGGAGCAAAACACTTCTCCCAGTTATTGATGCCAAAATAAACAAGACTACTACAGAGATAGCACAAATTGATAAGAAGGGGGAAGAGGTACAGCTGTCAGAGGAAGAAATCATAAGAAGAAGAGAGGATTTCCTACTTCTATGGGAAAGCATGAAGAGCAAGGAAAGTATGCTGCAGTAGAAATCTAGAAAGGCATGGTTGAACCTTGGCGACGCCAACACAAGTTTCTTTCACAAGTGCATCAAGGGGAGATGGAGAAGAAATGAAATGACTTCTATACAAATCAAAGGAACACAAATTCTGTGTGCCAGCAGAATGATGGAGGAGATTGCTTCCTTTTTTGAAGACATATTCAAAGAAGAACAGTGGGACAAACCAAAGCTAGAAGGGGTGAGCTTCAAGCAGATTTCACAGTTAGAAAATGACCATCTGGTTGGAGCTTTCAGTGAGGAAGAGATAGATGCAGCGGTGCGGGAGTGTGACAGCTCAAAGGCGCCTGGACCAGATGGATTCAATTTCGTCTTTGTCAAGAATGTGTGGGAGCTAATAAGGGTAGATGTAATCAAATTCTTGCATGAATTCCATAAAAATGGTAAGCTGGTTAGAGGACTTAACACATCTTTCATTGTCCTTGTGCTGAAAGTGGATAACCCACAGAAGATAGAGGAATATAGACCCATTTCCCTCATTGGCGTAATGTATAAAATCCTTGCAAAGCTTCTTGCTAACAGGTTAAAGGTGGTCCTTGATGGGATTGTCGGTGAACAACAGATGGCATTTATTAGAGGAAGGCAACTAATGGATGGAGTAGTGGTAGCAAATGAGGTGATTGATGATGTAAAGAAGAAGAGGAAAGAGACATTCTTGTTCAAGATCGACTTTGAAAAGGCATATGATAAGGTCAGCTGGGAATTCCTCGACTATATGATGCAACGGATGGGATTTTGTGTAATTTGGAGGAACTGGATCATGGAATGTCTGAGAACAAACCTTGTATCAATTTTGGTTAATGGCAGCCCAACAAGGCAGTTTACTCCCTTATCACCCTTCCTATTTTTAATAATTGCAGAAGGTCTTAATGGACTAGTTTCAGCTGCATCTTAGAAAGGGTTATTGGACGGAGTAGAGGTGGGGAGCAGAGGCTTTAAAGTTTCTCACCTACAATACGTGGACGACAAAATTCTCTTTGCTAAAGCTAAAGAGGAAAATGTGTGGGCAATGAAGGGTGTCTTGAGAGCTTTTGAACTAGTCTCGGGCCTAAAGATAAACTTCAACAAAAGTCATTTGATTGGCATACATGTGCAAGAGAGCTGGCTCAACAAAATGTCATGGGTGCTTTGCTGCAAAGTTGGGGTTTTTCCATTTAAATATCTGGGCATCCCCATTGGAGGAAGCAGTAGAAATAAGGCCTTTTGGAAACCGCTAGTGGAATTATTGTCTACAAAGCTATCTACATGGAAGGGTCGGTACTTATCTCTTGGTGGACGGATTACCCTTATTAATTTAGTGCTATCCAGTCTTCCTGTGTTTTGGATGTCGATGTATCTCATCCCAAAAGGTACGATTCTTTCACTTGATAAAATTCGTATAGGTTTCTTATGGGGTGGGGCTGTAGGAGAAAAGAAAATAAATTGGGTGAAGTGGGAACAGGTCTGCAAAGGTAAAAAACAGGGTGGTTTGGGGGTTAAGGATTTGAGAAAATTTAATATAGCCCTATTAGGAAAATGGTGGGGGAGGATAGTCATGGCAGATAAAGGGCTCTGGAAAAAGGTTATTGCGGAGAAGTATGGTCGGGTAAGGGAACCAAGCTTCAATTGGTTGAGGGAGAACATGAATTTCGGCTCATCTTGGTGGAGGGATTTAAGTAGATTGAATGATATTGACAAAGAGAAGAAAGGATGGTTAGTGGATGGGCTGGAATTAAAACTAGGGGAAGGGGTAGACATTAGTTTCTAGTGGGACAAGTGGAGTGGGGATGGGTGTTTAGCTAACAAATATCCTAGACTTTACTTGTTATCTACAGGAAAGGACTATAAGATCTCACAAATGGGAGGTTGGCACAATGATATTTGGAAGTGGAGTCTACAATGGAGAAGGTCCCTATTTAGCTGGGAAGAACATCAGGAATTGGAGCTAAAGGAGATTAACGAGAAAACAATTGCAAGAGGGAGACCAGATCAAAGGATATGGATTCACAGTAAAGATGGTAGTTATACAACCAAATCAGCATACCAGATACTTGCAGTAGAACACAGAAACAGCCAGCAGGGGTTGGCTCTACAAAAAGTATGGAATCCACTTATACCGAGTAAAATCTCAGCATTCTCTTGGCAATTGCTACAAGGTAAAATTCCAACCAAGGATAATCTGATGAAGAGAGGCGTGATTAAGGACCCAGGCAAGTGCAGATGTGAATTATGTGGTGCAGGGGAGGAGAATTCCAGCCACCTTTTTGTTCAGTGCAAAGTGGCACGTGATCTATAGACAGCTTGCTACAAATGGTGGGGAATTAAAATAGTAACTGATAGAGATTGCTGGAGATTTTTTGAACAACACTCCAGTATGCTGGAAACAGTGGTGGTGAAGCAGGGATGGGAATGTATATGGTTTGTAGTGATATGGACAATTTGGTTGGCTAGGAATGAAAAATTGTTTAGGGGGAAGGAGGTGTATAGTGGAAGGTTAATTGAACTGGTCCAAATCAGGGCCTTTAGTTGGATTAAGGGCAAAAGGAGAGATTGCTTTTTCTCCATAGCTGATTGGATCCAGAATCCTGCAAACTGTTTGAGCATTAATCACAACAGTAGAGGGTATCTCAAGAGAAAGCCATCTGAAATGGAGGTGGAGCTGTGAGTGAAGGAGGTGAAGGAGGTCAAGATCATGTAATCTGATTGGTTAATTATGTTACTGCTTGGTTGAAAAATCACTGTTGGAACAAGAAGGCTTCTTTGAGCAAATTTTGACTGCAGATTATGTGCCTGAAGCGATAATGGTCTTTGGGATTCTAAGTGGTAGTCAAGGCATGCTCAGTGAAGGTACGTGATAGTGGGGCGATAGCTGGAATGGTTTTCATGATCAGTATAGTCAGTGGCGAAGCCAGGGGGGTGCGAGGGGGGGCGCTCGCCCCTCCTGAAATTTGAAAATCTTGCAAATTAGTATATGAAAAATTATTTAGCCTCCCCTGAACTTTGAAAATTTTAGTATTTTTCCCCCCCTGAAAAAAATTTCTGCCTCCACCCTTGAGTATAGTGATTGATAAAGTTTTTGCATCAGAAGGTAGAAAGTTCGCCAGGGGTACAGTGCCGACACACTGGATCTGGTATCGACACTATATTGCATGCACAGAAATTTCCAACACGGACGCGGTGTTGGCACATATTTCAGAGGTCGACACCATACGGAAGGGTTGGAAATTGTATGACTTTCAAATTGTCAAGTTGATGGGTTGGGAGTACCTCTTGTACTCCGTTTATTAATAAATAAAATAATATTTTTTTCTGTTAAAAAAAAAACTGTAAATGGTAAAGGTCGTCGGTATTAATTGCTTTATCTTATCAACAGGAATTAGTAGTTATGGTGGTGAACATGCATCCCATCCATTAGTGTTGTATCATGAATTAAACCTGTAGCCTATTTTGTTAATAACATAAATAATTTAGTCGTGATTTTTTAAAAAAGAATTATCTTAAATTTAAATTACATAATATATAAATAAAGTAAATTAAAAAATAAAAAAAATATTTTTTATTGTATACTTTAAAATTAAAAAATAGATATAACATATTTAAAAAAATTAAATTTAATTGAATTTTAACTTTTACGTAAAGAAACAAGCCTAGAAACTATACAAACAAACACTAATAAGTTTTTTAATCCAATAGGGATAAGACGATGGTGTTCCAACACTTTCCATCGTGATTCACGGGGTTCCTAGGAATATACGTTAAATCTAAATGGAGATTCAGTTTTCATTTACGGACAACAATGGCTTGGAAGGTCATTGAGTCCCTCTCTCGTAAGTAAAGTCAACTTGATTGGAAAGAACTTCCGGAAAGATTGTGTTGGGATTAAAATATCCATTTGTTATTCTTTATCATATTTAATTAGAGATAATTTTATCAACATATAATCAATAATGATACACGCACAATCTAATCAATGCATCGGGAGGAAGCTCGAGCTCATTAATTAAAACCATAAAAAAAAACTCGAGTTCATTTAAAAGTTTCATAAAAAATGTGAGTCTTTTCTTATATATAATTAATAAAAAGTGTTTTGTATATGGTAGTTTTAAATTTTTTTTTTTGAAAGACTCAGTTCAAAAATGTATATTTTAATTAATAATTTTTTAAGATTAATTTAATAGGACTAATTAATTTATTAATTATTTAAAATTCAATAATGTTAAATATATATTAATAAGTAGAATTCATTTAATCAAAAAATTATAATTTAAATCAATATGATAAGACAAGAATGATTAATAGGATTAAAA